CGCGTTCCCCGTGCCCCGCCCCCTCCCTGGGACCCTGGAGCGGTATGGGGCCATCAGCCCAGAGTTTAGAGGGACAGCTGGTGAAACGGGGTGCACTGGGGGAGATGGGCTGGGCTGAAGTTAATCTTTGGGCGTGGGCAGAGGCACAAGAAGTGGGGGGGCTGAGCAATGAATGGGTGTGCCTCAGAATTTGGAGACCCTGTAAATGCAAGAGCGGAATTCCTGTCAGGAGGAGAGCACTTTGGGCCTAGATTAGGGCCTGGCACATGGAAGGGGCTCAGTAAACATTTGTTGAGTGAAAAATAATTATTGAAAGTGGGGCAATGAATCCATGAGAATAATGCCATTCCCGGGGGTGCAAGAGAGTGGTTTGATCAAAAGGGGTGTAAGGGAGAAATTAAATTGCGGGTCATACATGAGGCTGAGCGGAAAGGGGAACAGAAAATATTTGTAGAAGTTGAATAAATGCAGGAGGGAGGGATGATCATTGTTCAAAAGGATGCAAGGGAAAATTATTGGAACAGGGTGGTTGTGGAAAGGGTGTTTAGGATTTCTTGCTGGGGGCATCAGAGTACATGAGTATGTCTAAAACTGGGATTTGTGCATAGGATGGTACAGGTGAGCAGACGAGAATAATGTTTGGATTGAAAGAATACATTAGAAAGGAAAGAGGAGAGGGGTTCTTGGGAAGAAGGTGCACTGGGAAGGAGGATGCCTGAGGAAGGTAGTGAGATGAAGAGGAGAGAAGCGATGGTGAAAGCTGAGTCCGCAGGTTTGTGAGCTGGAGAACCACCTCAGGTGTGGCCTTGTAGGGGCAAGACAGCTGGTCAGCAGAGGGCCCATATGACCATTTTGACCCTCCACTACTGCCTCCAGATCCATGGAACCTAATGAAATGCCTGCTGTCCACCACTGCCCCTCAGACTCTGCCACAGAGGGTGAGGCCAGAGTCCCCCAGGGCTTGGAGCTTATCCCTAGGAGAGCTGTCAGTCGTTCTCCAACCTGCGCCCGCTGCCGCAACCACGGCGTCACTGCCCACCTCAAGGGTCACAAGCGCCTCTGCCTCTTTCAGGCTTGCGAATGTCACAAATGTGTCCTCATCCTGTGAGTATGAGATCCAGGGAAGGGAGAAGGATGGGCCTCATCTCAAGGGTGGCTAACTTTTGACTCACAACCCCCCTTTTAGGGAGCGCCGAAGGGTCATGGCTGCCCAGGTGGCCTTGCGTAGGCAGCAGGAGGCACAGCTAAAAAGGCACCTGGCTCAGGGACTGATGAGAGGGGCAGCCCCTCCCAAAGCTCCCAACCGTGTCAAGAAAGGAGCCACGCGACCAGGGGTACCCTGTGAGTGTCTCTGGCCAGGAATGGGGCAGGGATTTGGGTGGAGAAAGCATAAATAGGGAAAAGAGTCCCAGACCTGCCACTGGACTGGTGTGTGACCTTGGGCAAGGTGTTTTTATTCTCTGGGCCTCAGCCTCCCCACTTTAAAATGTGATCAAGTGTTGGGAGGATGCAGGGAGACCTGTGGGTAGAAAAGAGCTCAGGGGGAGGTAACTCATTTTTCAGTTGGAGTGAGATAGCGGTCAGGAGAAAGGGCTCACCAAAGCTCTTCCTGGTCTCTCACAGCTGAAAAGGAGAACATAGTGCCCCAGCCTCAGACTCTCCATGGGGCAGTCCCACTGGCACTGACACCCCCTGGGAAGGTAAGGAAAACTTGGGCCCTGAGACAGTGACTCCTCTCCTAGCCCTTGCCCAGACCCCTTCCACTGTGCTCTTGCTGCCTAGGTTCTAGGTCCCACCCTGACTTGCTGTATCATCTTGGCAAATCTCTTCTCTTCCAAGGACAAAATGAGACGGTGGGATTTTACAGCCCTCCAAGCTCTTATGTCTGGGGTCCTACCCTCATCCTAGAACATACCCATTCTTTTCTCAGTCTTGTACCTAACTCCAACCTGTGCCCTCTGCCCTTGCAGGAGAACTCCCGGGGGCCTCTGCTGCTTAGCCGTCCTCCGGAAGCCTTGCCTTTGCCATGGACTCCGGTGCCTCCAGGTGCTTGGGCCCCTGGACACTGGCTGCCTCCGGGCCTTTCCATGCCACCTCCAGTGGTGTGCCGCTTGCTATGCCAAAAACCTGCTGTCCCTCTGCATCCCTTCTCTGGTAAGATTAATTCAACAAATAGTTGAATGCCAGTGTACCACTGTATGGGAAGAGAAGAGGAAGAGGATACAGGGTAGAAAAAAGGAGGACAGAATCCATGACCTATGACCTGTATACACTGTATTCTCTTACTTTTATTAGGCTTTGACCCTGGCACCACCCTCCAGCTACCCAGTCATGGACCCCTCCCACCCTGCCCAGGATCTCGCCCAATACTGACAGCTCCTCCTCCTGGAGAACCCCAAGGGTCCTCTGCCCTGCCCCGCACGTGAGTAAGAAGAGAAGATATGTGTGTATCATGTGCCTAATCCTCTGGTGGACACCATAGTAGATAACAAAGAAAAAGAAAAAGTCTCAGACTAATGGATGAAGCAGAGCTCTCCTAGCTTTGCCATTGCCTAGCTGTGAATCTTTGTATAAGAGAGTATTTTACCTCTCTAAGCCTGTTTTTTCTATCAGTACTTTGGAGACATTATTGTTTACCTCTCAGGTTGTCATGAGAATTAGCAGTAATATATTGACTACACCTAGCACAGGCCCTGGCCTTGAACAAATAGTGATTATTAAATCTGCTTAAACAGATAAGATGGAACAGTTGAATTGCCTGCTGAAATGGGGAGGGGGTGATGATGAGAGCCTCAGAGGCCTAGGAGAGAGGCCAGAGGCCAGTAGAGAAAGCTTCCTAAAGGTGAGCCAAGCTGTTCTTCAAGTTCTATGGGGATCAGGGAAGTAAGAGGAGGGAAACCAGACTCTGATAGAACAGGAACAGCCATCCCATTTCCTCTAGATGTTTTATCAGTTTTTTAAAAATTGACACCAATGGTTTTCCATAATCCTCACAGTAGCCCTGGAAGGAAGAAGCTGTCAGGGATTGTCATTTTAAACAGGGATTGTCATTAGAAAACAAAGCAGCTAAAACAGGGGAAGGGACTTGCCCAACGCCACAAAGCCTAATGATCCAGCAGGCACTCTTATTCACAGATCAGAATACAGTCATGAACCACTTAATGACAGGGACACATTATGAGAAATGCAATGTTAGGTGATTTAATCATTGTGTGAACATCATAGAGTGCACTTACACACACCTAGTTGGTCTATCCTGCTACACACCTAGGCTATATTGTGTAGGCTATTGCTCCTAGGCCACAAATCTGTACAGCATGCCACTGTATTGAATACTATAGGCAATTATAACATAATGGTAAGTACTTGTGTATCTATACAGAAAAAGTACAGTAAAAACACAGTATAAAAGAAAAAATGGTCCACCTGTATAGGGCACTTACCATGAATGCCGCTTACAGGACTGGAAGTTTCTCTGGGTGAGTCAGTGAATGAGTGATGTGAATGTGAAGGCCTAAGACACGACTGTACACTACTGTAGACTTTATACACATTGCACACTTAAGCTACACTAAATTTATAAAACAAATCAAGCACAAGAGAAATGTGATGCCATCAAGAGACAAGTCAAACACCAGATGTATGAGGCTGCTGCCTGCGTGACATGGCATACTGTTTTACAGCAAGCTTTGTTTTATAAGGAAAAAGAGTACACTCTAAAATAATGATAAAATGTACGTATAATAAATGTATAAATCAGTTACAGTCATTATTATCAAGTATTATGTACAGTACATCATTGTGTGTTATACTTTTATATGACTAGCAGTGCTGTAGGTGTGTTTACGCCAGCATCACCACAAACACATGAGCAATGCACTGCACTATGATGTTTCAATGGCTATTGTCACTAGGCAATAGGAATTTTTCAGCTTTATTATAATTTTATGGGACTACTGTCATATATGTGGTCCATTATTGACCTAAACGTTGTTATATTGTTCACGGTTGTATAGCAAAATTCTGCCCCTGTTTCCACGTGTACTTGTCTGTCCATGTGTTTAGTAACTCTGGCATTTTCTCTCCTTGTTTCTAGATGCTCAACTTTGATACTTCAGCCCTGTGGCACCCCAGATCCTCTTCTGCTACAGCCACAGGTCCTGGGAAAGAAGTGGGATTCAGGACCCTGGGAGGAAGTTGACCTGGGGAAGGGAAAAGTAGGGGCTATTTAAGTAATTGGGGGCTGAGAGAGCACTTGGAGGCTGGGCATAAGTGGGGATTCCCAGTCTGCTTCTCTCCCTTTCCTGTGTAGGCCCCTGGAACCTCTTGCCTGTCGTGGACCTCTGGCCCCTCAGAGCGACAGCTGCAGCGGGAGGCAGCTGAGGCTCTTGTGGGGCTGAAAGATTCATCCCAGGCTCCCCGCTTGACCCCTTCTGTCCCCCCCAACTCTGCCTGGATCTCCCTGCTCCACCCCTGTGGCCCACCAGGTAACCTGTCCTCTGAAAGGAGAGGATGAGATAGGGATGGTTGGGAAGTGGAGGTACTGGAGTAAGCAAGGACTAACAAAGGAGATCAGGAGGTCAGCAGGTTGAACATCCTCAGGCCCAGGCCCCAAGCTTCTAAACCTAGCCCCTGGGATGGCCGTTGAGTGGATAAGTTTTATCAGTTGTGTGCTCAAAAGCTAATTCCAGTGCCCTGATGTCAAGGAAAGTAAGGCCCTGAGAGAGGCAGGGATTTGCCCAAGGGCATATAGCAAGACAGTCGGTAGAGCCTGGTCTTCTGACACCAGACCAAGGCTCTCTCTTTGGACCCAAGCTGCCTGCTAAAGGCTGGAGAGGGGCTGAAGAGGTAACAAAGGTTTGGCTGGAAAGAGATCTGATAACTACCTTTGAGAAGCTTCCATTCTCAAAGTATCCAGGAGGACCTGGATACCTTCACAAAGCTCGGTGATAAACCAGGAGAGAACTAGAGGAAACTTGAGGAATGAGAAACACCTATAGGGACAGAGAGAGAAAGCTGAGAATTCTCCTTTCCACAATGGTGGATTGGACAGGGTGTGTGGGTGAGGAAACCAGCCTGGAGGAACTCCTAGAACAGAAGATGAGGCTGGAGAGGCTTCTGATCATGGAGGTCTGGCATGCCAGGCTTTGGAGTCTAGTAATTGTGCAGGAAGGAGAGCCAAAGTATGTTTCTGAGCTAGGCAGGACATATTCAGAGACTCTGAGCTTTAGAAAGACAGGTTTTATTGCTGTGGTGGAGGGATTGCAAGAGGCAAAACTGGATGTGAGAAAATCAGTGAGGAGGAAGTGTCTGCTATATTCCAAGTAAAAAAAAAAAAAGATGAGACCTG